ACAGTTACAAATAATGTTGCCTCTGGGTATAAGGACCAATATATAGAAAACAGTTCGAAATAACATGCCTTCAGAGATTTTTGTCAAAGAAGGATGGCCTCTGAGTTCACTATTACTTAGGCTTATATGTTAAAGTAGGTTAATACATTAGGAATTTTTTTTCATTTAAATGATATGTTTCTTTAAATAAAAAATTGAAATATTCAGTCATGTCTGTGGGAAACAAGGATATAATAACCTAGGATATGATAATTCCTGGAAAGCTTTATATTTGAATGCGGTGTTAACAATCATCAAGTCTGCCTTGGTATTTTTCGTTGTGCTAGCACTGATTTCAATATGAACAGCACATGATGATGATGAGTAAAATAATAGATATATTAATGGCTCAGGGAACTGTTTATAGGAACATAACAATGTAAAAATTACTTTAAAACAGATTTTCAAGAGGAATAATGATAGAATGTAATTTAATGGAATTTGGAGGTTTTACTTACAGTACACTCCTCAGAATTGTTCCCTTTTAGTATATGTTGTGATTTAAAAATATGGAGTTCATGGGATTCATGCCTAGATTTTATTTAGGCATTCCAAAATCAAATGTTGAAACTGAGCAAGTACAAGCACCAATACATGCATAGGTATGGAAAGATGCCCAGTAGGTGCTTCCATTAGGGAACATCTGTGTGTTTTCTGACAAATATCCCTTATATTGTATTTCGCTTATTTGATTCTAATAAGCAAAACCTAGTAATAGGCTCCAACAACAACTGGCTGCTTGGTAATATGATTACTTGGGTTCTAATTCCATAAAATATTTATGAAAAATCAAGCACACTAGAATCACCATCCAATCAAAGACATGGGGCATATCCTGTGTGAGTAATCTCATGGAGTTTTCCTGGCCAGCTTGGTTAACAGGTTTGGCAAATTCTCTCTTTGTGAAAAGCATTATGTTACTCAGACATTGTCAATACACCTATGCATGCAACTAATATTTGATAGATCTTTTATGGCCCTTTTATCAGTGCAGTGTCCATAAATGTTTCATTATAGAGCAAACTAATGTTCTACTACATGCCGAAGAAGGATCATTAAACAAATATTGTCAGAGTGGCCTATAATGTTTAATGGACTGATGAAGAGACAAAGAAAGAATTTCCAGTGTATGCTATCCCTGAGGGTCTGTCCATGTTCTAATCCATGGCCCCACAGGAAAATCTACAGATGGGCTTTCCCTGAACTCAGATGTCATATAAGAGAGAGTACTTGTATGAATGAAAGATAGAGACTGATAATGATGATTAAAGCAGAATTATACTAGGGGAAGTGAAAGTATTTTTGAATATTCTCAAAATATCTATATTTGTATATGAATTAAGTGTAAAGTATTTTGTGAGTATTTATGGAACTTTGAATCCAAAATGAATGGTACATGAATGGAGACATATGTGAAACCACACATAAATGCATAAATAAAAAAAAGAAATTGTAAAATATATACAAGGATTATGAATATTATATTATAATATAAACACCTCAATATATGACATAATCATTAGAACAAGTAAGATACCATATCCAAACTGTCTATGTTGAGAAAGGCTAACGGTACCACTACTATTTCCAAAAGGAATATCTTATTGCAGTCATTTTTGTATATATATATATATATATATATATATATATATATATATATATCAGACATACATTTATTGGAGTGCTATAATTCAAGAATCTATCAATGCAGTAGAGGAAATGGCAGGACACATCAGAAATGTCAGCAATAAGCTGCAAATGGCGGCACAGAATCACAATAAGCCAGCAGGAGTCAGAAAGGGAGGGTTGCATGTATGTAGCCAGGAATTTGGCCCAGGAAAAGGATACATGATTACCTCTTTGTTGGCATCAGCTGGATGCTTTGTTTTGTTTTGTTTTTTTGATAATTGAAATTGGAGCCCAGAGTAAATTGCATTTTTTTCCTTGCGCACTTTCAATTTGCTGTTTCAGTGGCAGCACACAGACATTCAGGTGGGAGGGAGAAATGAGTCAGCATATCTGATGGAGATCTCCAAGTTTACCACAGGATTTGCCTCCTTTGCTGGAACTGAGATCATTGTCCTTATTGTTTCTTATCCTGGGCTAAATTTGAATACACACAGTCCTTCAACCAGAGGCAAGGAGTGCTAATGAAAGTGTCCAAGGTGGGGCTTCTTAATAGTCAGGGGCTGGCAATACTCCAGGATACAGTTGGTCCTGGGTATAACCAAAGCCTGACTCTATATTGGCTCATAAAATGCAGACTGCTCCTGACATCTACAGGTAACAGAGCCCACACAGTTAGCAAAGTCAGGATTGTTTGATTCCCAGGAGTACAGCTCTGAGTCCCCTGCTCCTGTCACCTGTGAAGCAAGTGGGATACTGCTTCTGAAGCTACAGCTCCTCTTTAAAGATGTGACATTCCATGTTCATTCTAAAAGTGCTGCATTATAACGAAGGAAGGTAATTCAATTCAGGGTTTACAAACTGGCACAGAAAAAGAAAGTCCTGCTCTTTCCTACACTAGGGAGATCCACTGTGGGAATAGGTATTGTCACTTTTACCCAGTACCTAGAGTCACTGAAAGTATCAAGCAATAACTGTTCCAGACACTACTCTTTCTGTCACTAGAGTCTCTGGGTAGACAATAAAGAATAGCACATGAAATTTACTTTTTATATCCTTTTGTCATTTAAGGACTGAGAGGTACAATTTTCTAATGTTTGTGGGCACTCTCAATTCCTTTTGACACATAAGAACTCTTGGACATGATTCTTTTCCTGGTCAGCCCATTCCTCTCTATGACATCAGGCAAGGCATGATTTTGTTGAAAATCAGCTATTTATTTCTAGTGACAGTGAGGTATTACATGTGTTGCTTGAGAGTAATTAGGAACCCAGATTTATTTCTTCTTGTATCTGGTATTTTCATAGGTTTAGTACCTTCGAACACCTTATCTTGTGTCTGAAAACTCACATTCTGAATTTCTATGAGTGATAGGAAATTTGAGTTTGGAAAACATTGTCATTAAGAAATGATCCCCCAGCTCTGAATCTGTTCGAATATTACTGGTACCTTTTCAACACAGATACAGGAGGCGTTATTTCAGCCATATGAAAAAGGCATTAAACACCATAAAATAGTTACCTAAAGCCTCTAAGTGTCTATAGATTGAGGCCCCTGCATATCATTGTGTTAATTCCTAATTAAGACGAGATGAAATTTCTCTGATGAGGGTCAAGTAATAACCAGATCTATCAGTTTGTCACTATGTCTTCAGGGCTCACTTTATTTCAATTTGAATCCAGTAGAATGAGAGAAATAATATTTATAGTTCTCTGACAATTTTAGTCTCAGGTTCTTGGTACTTTTATGAGTGGAGGGCATTTATTCACCTAAAGAAATTAATCATAATCATTGCAAGTAATTGATTACTCTTATTAAAAATAGGCCATTATGGGAAATGTAGAAAAAGTAGAAGACTACTCTACATGAGCTTTTTTTTTTTTTTTTTTTAGAAGGTAGCTCATGAGTATGACCCATTTTGTTCTTGCTGGAGTTAAATGTAGAGTAGGTTTCAATCCTATCACATGTAATCATTCCCAGTGAAGCTTATCATGAGGTACCATGTGGACATCTGTTCTATGATGACTTAAATATGAAGGAACTTCAATAGTACCTTAGCACCATCATATTGCAAGGTGTATTCCTGGTTTGGAAATGGTTTGTGAATCACCAGTGGGGGACTATGGGAGCTCCCTTGGCCATGGAGATATCATAAAACTCATTACTGACACTTCAGAGAAAACGCTGATTCCCCTTCTTTGTCTAAGATGTGCAGTTTTCACAATATCTCCACAATATATGTTGAACCATATCAATTACTTTCATACATGTATAAAAGTTTTCTTATGTGTATAAAGATGTGCATCATTCTGAGACACATTAAGAGGTATAAATATATATGTATGTATAAAAATACTTATGCAAACGTGTGTATGCACCTTTATAAGGTTGAGCATTTCTCACAAGTGAGAGGTATTTTAATATTTCCACTCTTCATTCTTTTTCCTCCTGCATTACCATGTCTGCTCCTGGAAATTCCAAAAGAAATACTGTGTCTTAGTGAATTTATTTTTTCATTCATACACTAATATAGTCAGAACTGAATGATGCATTATAGAATATGTTGTGATGATAAATCAACATTTTTATCTCTTACCTTTGGGAACTGAAAGTCCTCACAATGTCATTGTTGAAAAACCTGCTTCTATATATATCTTAGCATCCATCCTTTTTCCTTAGGTTTCTGCTAAATGTGCTGCGTCCATAGAGTTTCCAATGGAAACTCTGACAAGACCATATGTGTTGTCATGCTGGTACACTTGCTTGGTTTCTTTACTTTGGATTATATTTTTTGTTGGTGTACATATTTTCTAAACATTAGGCTTTGAAATGTGATATCCATATTAGAGAACACTTATTCCACAGGAGGAATCCAGTTCCTTAGAATTATGAATTGTGTCTTAGCATTGAATACCATAATTTCCTCGCCCAGAAAATATGTTGAGTTTTGTGGATTTATAAGGTGGCTGTAGACATGACATTGTAAGTATATAGCAGTTTGTGAAGATATGGAATTTTATAATAGTGCTATAAAATGATGGGTTTTTTTTTTTTTGAGAGTTCCAGCTAAAGTTGCCTGTGGGTATAAGGATATATAGAAAACTGTTCGAAATGACATGCCTTCAGGGATGTTGCCAAACAAGGACTGCATTGGGTTGACTAATTCTTAGCCTTATGTATTATGACAGGTTAATACACTGGGGATTATTTTTCCTCATTTAAACGGCATATGCTTCATTTAATAAAAAAAAAAAACATTAAAATATTCAGTCAGGTCTGTGGGAAACAAAGATATAATACACAGAATATTGTAAGTGCTGTTAAGCTTTATATTTGAATGCTGTGATATAATCAAATCTGACTTTATGTTTCTGTTGTGTTAGCTGTGATTTTGATATGAACAGCACATCATGGTGATGATGAGTTAAATATTAACTATATCAGTGGTTCGGGTGACTGTTTCTGAGAACATTACTAGGTAAAAATTACTTTAAAAAAAACGCAGATTTTCATCTGGGGAAGAGGCAAGATGGCGACAGGTGGCAGAGCAGAGGAAGATCTGCAGCAGGGCCGCCTGGAAATGCTGCTCCCCACTCAGCCTACAGCCCAGGCTGAGGAAGCCCAGGGCACAGGAGAGAAGATGGGCTGGGCGCAGGTAGTAAAGAACCTGGCGGAGAAGAAGCACGACTTTCGTGAGCCTTGGCGGGGAGAAGGAAGGGGCAGAGGTGCGGGTGTCAGGCTGGGCAGCCCCGCGGGCCTGGCCGCTCCGAACCCCGGCAACTTCCCACCTGCGGGCCGCGGGGACCCGAGGGGCTGCACTAGAGACCCTGCGGGCTATGCGGCAGAAGCTTGCAGGATGCAGGGAGCCGGAGACGCGAATCAGAGGAGGATGGCCGAGGTGGCAGTGGCAGCGGCGGCGGCCATGGCGTCCCCCTCCCCCGCCAGGCCTGTTGCGACCCAAGACGCAACTGCGGAGATAACACTGCAGGATGAGCCAGCAGCGGCCATGCCTGGTAAGGGCCGCTTCCTTGTGCGCATCTGTTTCCAGGGAGAAGAGAGTGCCTGTCCGACCCGGGATTTCGTGGTGGGCGCGCTCATCATGCGCTCCATCGGCATGGATCCTGGGGACATCTATGCTGTCATTCAGATCCCTGGCAGCCGCGAGTTCCATGTGAGCTTCAGATCTGCAGACAAGCTTGCCCTGTTTCTCCGCATCTATGAGGAAAAGCGGGAGCTGGACGACTGCTGGGAGAACTTTGTCGTGTTGGGGCAGAGCAAGACCGGCTTGAAGACCCTCTTCATCCTGTTCCGGAATGAGACTGTGGATGTGGAGGATATCGTGACCTGGCTCAAGCGCCACTGCGAAGTGCTGGCCTTGCCAGTGAAAGTGATTGACAGGTTTGGGATTTGGACTGGGGAGTACAAGTGTGAGATTGAGCTGCGCCAGGGGGAGGGCGGAGTGAGGCACCTGCCTGGCTCCTTCTTCTTGGGAACGGAGAGGGGCTACAGTTGGTACAAGGGGCAGCCCAAGACGTGCTTCAAATGTGGTTCCCGAACCCACATGAGCAACACCTGCACGCAGGACAGGTGTTACAGGTGTGGGGAGGAAGGGCACAAGAGCCCTTACTGCCGGAAGATCGTCATGTGCAACCTCTGTGGCAAGGGAGGACACATGTTTGCTCAGTGTCCCAAAGCAGCTCACAATTCCATGCGCTTCTCCCTGCCAGGTTGAACACACAGCTAGCTTACCCACTTAAGTGCCAAAACCTTTTTTTTTTTTTTCTTCTTTAAGATCATTTTTCCCTTTTTGGAAGGAAACTTGTCACAATTTTTTTTTTTTTTTGGAAGGAGATATTTCTAAAACTTAACAGAGACATTCGCTATATGCCTTTTTAAAACCACGTGTGCTTTTTTCCAGGCTGTTTAAAAAGGACTGTGCAGAACTGTAGTGTGCAAATATGTTGCCTCCCCCCACCAACACCACCTTTTTTCTTCTGTTTTACATTGGTTTTGGTACTTTCTTCATCACCCTGCCTGCCTCTGTACTTTTACTACCTCCTGCTTCATCCATGTCTCATCAGAAGATTTTTGCCCTTTGGACTGCTTTGCTCAGTTTTATGCCTCAGCCCTGGGTACAGGGCCCAATGCAAGATAGGCTTTCAATCAAGCATTTATTAAATTGAAAATGTAGTCCACTAGCTCTATCTAGAGTGCCTACCTTGTGGAGCTCTCTGCTGAGCTCTTGTTATTTGCTGCTTCTATGTAATATGAAAATTTGTGAAAACAGTGTTGCTGGAAGTGTGTAATCCAAATAAGCTCTGAAAGGTGGCCAAGGCCTTTCATAGCATTTAAACCTATCTCCTATGTGATAGTTCCTTATGGCTCAGAAGCCATAATTCTGTAGGACTGTGGAGCTTAGGCAGTTCTTCTGGGAATGACACAAGAGGTGATTTTTTTGGATTTTCTTTGGGGGAGCTTGCTTTTGTTTTGTGTATTGATTTGAGATAGGGTCTCACTCTGTAGTCCGGACTGGTTTGGACCTGGCTGCATTCCTGGACCAGTTAAATGAATGGGTCAAACTTAACAGTGGTGTGGTGCATCAGACAGTGCACATTAGAGTCCACTGCCCCCATGCATGATGCTCATCCCAGTACCTCTCACACTTCACAACAGTCTCCTTGACAATGATGGGCCAAGGAAGTCTCTCTCCAGGGAGACGGTCCCAGCATGAAGCTGAGACACCATCCCCTGAAAGAGCAGAAAGAGAAGCTTGTCTTGCCATTTCATAGTAAGGGACCTAGGGGAAGGACCAGTGAACACACTGCAGGCTGCATGCGTGCATCAGTCCTTGGAGTGAATGCCACATCTTCAATGTTCCACTGTCATTGTCAGCATTGAGAAATGGTTCCCCTCAGGAAAGAAACTTGCCAGACTTTTACATTTGCACCTCTGCCTCATTTACTAGGAACCCCAGAGAAGCTAGAAAGAGAGCTCATCTGAAACCTTCGACCTCTGATGCTCAGGAGAAAGGTGGTTTTAACCCAGAATCATGAATGAGCTGTGAAATGGAAAATGTTCTTGGGGAAACAGGCCAAGAGAGAGGGCCTGAGTCAACTAAGTGTTCTCAAGTTAAAGTGAAAGACAGTAAGCTGCTTTTTTCAGTTTTTGTCTTCTCTTTGCAGTTTTGCTATTTTCTTGTGGCTTAGAATGTAAAACCAGATGTTCAGATTTCTTCTCAATAAATATTTATCTTTCTTGCCTACGAAAAATCTTGAGTTGTGTGGATTTATAAGGTGGCCATACACATGACATTGTAAATAAATAGCAGTTTCTGCATGTGTAGAGTTCTGTAATAGTGCTGGAAAATGATGTCATTTTTGCAGAGTTACAACTAAGGTTGCCTGTGAATATAAGGATGGATATAGAGAAAACTATTTAAAATGACATACCTTCAGCGATGCTGCCAAAGAAGGACTGCCTCTGGGTTCAATATTTCTGAGCCTAATGTATCAGGCTATATTAATACAATGGGAATTATTTTTTCTCATTTAAATGATACATGTTTCTTTAATCAAAAAAAATTAAAATATTCAGTCATGTCTGTGGGAAGCAAAAATATAATACCCTAGGATACACTAATTCCTGACTAGTTTTTGCATTTGAAGGCAATGGTACAATCATCAAGTCTGCCAGGATGTTTTTTACTTGCGTTAGTTGTGATTTTGAAATTAACAGCACATGATGATGATGAGTAAAATAATAGCTATAGTAATGGTCCAGGGTTTCTAAGAACAAAACAATGTAAAAATTAGTTTAAAAAAAATTTTTTCAAGAAGGATGATAGATTGTAATTTAATGGAATTTTGATGTTTTATTTAGAAGAGACTCCCCATCATTGATCATTTTTGTATATGATGTTATTAAAACAACAAGAACAAGAGAAACACTTCATTTACGCTTAGGTTTTATTTTAGCATTCTGAAATCAAATGTTGAAACTGAGCGAGTCCTAGCACCAATTCATAGACATAGAAAGTTGTTCAGTAGGTGCTTACATTAGGGAATATCTGTGTGTTTTTTGACAAATATCCATTTTGGTATATTTTCCTTATTTGCTTCTAATAAGTAAAACCTAGTAGAAGAGTCCTTCAGCAATCTCGCTGTTGGAAAGATAACTTTCCTGGGTTCTAATTCCAGAATATATATATATATATATATATATATATATATATATATATATGCCTGAAAAGCATCAGGCATACAAGCATCACCATCCAATCAAAGACCACGTGGCATATGTCATGTGAGTATTATCATGGAGTTTTCCTGCCCAGCATGTTTAACATATTTGGCAAATTCTTGCCTTGTGTGAAATACTATGTCAAGCTGACATTGGTAATACTCCTGAGCGTGCAACTGATATTTGATGGAATTTTTAGCACCCTTGTATCAGCTGAGTGTACATACATAATTGTTTCATTATGAAGCAAACCAATGTTCTACTTCATGCTGAAGAAGGACCATTAAACAAATATTGTCAGAGTGGCCTATACTATTTAATGTGCTGATGAAGAGGGAAAGGCAGAATTTAGCATGTATGCTAGCTTTGAGAGTCTGTCTATGTTCTATCTGATGGTCCCACAGAAAAAAAAAAAAACACAGGGACTTTACCGGATCTCAGATGTCACACAAAAAGAGAATAACTATATGATCTAAGGACTGACTATTGATGATGATGTTTAAAGCAGAATTCTACTTGGGGAAATGCAAAGGATTTTGAATATTTTCAAAATATCTATATTTGTATATGAATAATGAGCAAAGTATTTTGTGAGTATTTATGGAACTTTGAATCCAAAATGAATGCTACATGCATGCAGACATATGTGGAACCACCCATAAACACACACATAAAAAGGAGAAATTTAAAAAAGTATATAAGGATTATGAATTAATACTAAAACCTCAAATATTACATAATCATTAGGACACAGTAAGTTAGCATATCCAAACTGCTTATGTTCAGAGTATTTCAGTCATTATTATACATAAATACACACACACACACACACACCCATATATATATAACAGAAATATATTTATTGGAATGGTAAAATTCAAGAATCTATCATTGCAGTCAGGAAATGACATGACATATCAGAAACTGTCATCAGCAAGCTACAATCCTCAACACAGAATCACCATCAGCCAGCAGCAGGCAGAAAGAGAGGGTGGCATGTATATAGCCAGGAACTTACCACAAGTAATGGATACAGGATTATCTCCTAGTTGGAAGGGGCTGGAGGTTTTGTTTGTTTGTTTGTTTGTTTGTTTTTGATAATTGGTGTCATAGCACAGAGTAAATTGACCTTTTTTTCTTGGACACTTTCAATTTTGCTGCTTCAGTGGCAGCACATGTACATTTATGTGGGAAGGAGAAATGAAACAGCATCTCTGATGGAGATCTCCAAGGTTACCACAGGATTTGCCTGCTTTGATGGGACTAAGATCATTGTCCTTATTGGTTCTTATTCAGGCCTCAATTTGAATGCACACAGTCCTTCAATCAGAGACAAGGAGTGTCAATAAAAGTGTCTGAGGTAAGGCTTCTTACCAGTCAGGCTCTTGCTATACTCCAGAACAAACTTGGTCCTGGGTATAACCAAAGCCTGACTCTATATTGGCCCAGAAAAGGCATACTGCTCCTGAAATCTATAGGAGACAGAGCCCATACAGTTTAGAAAGGTCAGGATTGTTTGATTAGAAGGATAACAGCTCTGAGTCTCCTGCTGATGTTACCTGTGCAGCAAGTAGGATCCTGCTTCTGAAGCTACAGTCTAAAAGTGTTACACTATAACCAAGGAAGGTAATTCAGTTCAGGATTTGCTACCTGGCACAGAAAAAGAGACTCCTGCTCTTTCCTATCCTAGAGAGATGCACTGTGGGAATAGCTATGCTATTGTCACTTTTATCCAGTTACCTAGAGTTGCTGTAAGTATCCAGCAATAACTGTTCCAGACACTACCCTTTCTGTCACTAGATTCTCTGGATAGACATAAAGAATTTTACTTGAAAAGAAATTTGCTTGTTGTAATCATTTTGCCATACAGGGACTCAGAGGTTCAACTTTCTAATATTGGTGGACATTGTTAATTTCTTTTGACACATCGTAACTCTTGGACATGTTTTTTTTCCAGGTCAGCCCATTCCTCTCTATGATGTCAGGTGAGGCATGAACTGTGTTGGAAATAAAATATTTATTTTTAGTGACAGTCAGGTATTGCATACTTCCCATGAGAGTAATAAGAGCCAAAATTTCTTTCATCTAGTATCTGGTATTTTCGTATGTTTAGTACCATTGAACACCTTATCTCATGTCTGATAACTCACATTCTGAATTTCTATGAGGGATAGGAAATTTGAGACTGGAAAATTTTGTCATTTTGGAATGATTCCCCTGCTCCGAATCTGTTAGAATCTTTCTGGAGCCTTTTCAACACAGATACTTGAAGCTAAAGTTCAGCCACATGAAAAAAGCCATTACATATCATAACATAGTTACTCAAAGCCTCTATGTGTCTATAGAAAGGGACCCCTGCATGTCATTGTGTTGATTCTCTGTTAATATGAAAAGAAATATCTCGACAAGGATCAGGTTATAACCAAACATATCAGCTTATCACTATGACTTCAGGACTCACTTTATTTCAACTTGACTTCAGTTGGAAAAGGCTAATAATGGATATAGTTCTCTGACAATTGTAGTCTCATGTTCTTGGGCCTTTTAAGAGTTTAGGTCATTTATTCACCTTATGGAATTAATTGTAATCCTTGCATGTAATTGATTATTTCTATTAAATATAAGCCACAATGGCAAAAGTAGAAAACATTAGAGGACTATTCAACATGTGCTGTTTTATGTCACATTGTTCATGAGCATGAGATGCCTTGTTCTTGCTGGAGTTATATGCAGAGTAGTTTTTCCATTCCTATCCCAAGTTGTCATAATCAGTGAAGCTTCTAATAAGATACCATATGGATATCTGTTCTATGATCACTTAAGTATGTAGGATCTTCAGTAATAGCTTATCACCATCATATTGGGAGATGTAGCCCTGGTTTGGAAATAGTTTGTGAATCACCAGTGGGGGACTATGGGAGCTCCCTTCACCAACAAGTTAAGCAAATAACTCCTTACAGTCATCTGAGAGAAAACTCTGATTCCCCTTCATGGTCTAAGATATGCAGTTTTCACAGTATCTCCAAGATAAAAGTTGAACCATATCAATTACTTTCGTATATGTATAAATGTTTTTGTATGTGTATGTATATATGCCTCCTTCTGACACATATTTAGAGGTAAAATATATACATATGTATAAAAATACATATACAAGTGTATGAACATTTATGCAGCTGAGCAATTCTCACAAAAATTTCCACTCTTCTTTCTTTTTCCTCCTGCATTACCATGTCTTGTCCTGGAAATTCCAAAAGAAATATTACTTCTTAGTGAATTTATTTTTTCCATACATACACAAATATAGTCAGAACTAGATGATGCATTGCACAGTATGTGGTGAGGATAAATGAACATTTGTATCTTTGTCCTTCTGGAATTGAAAGGCCTCACAATGTCATTTTGACAAGCCTACTTCTGTCTATCTTAGCATCCATCCATTCTCCTTTGCTTTTCTGCTATGTGTGGTGAGTTTAGAGAATTTCAAATATGCGCTGGTATAGCAATATGTGTTTTCATGCTACTACCCTTGTTTGGATGTTTCTTTACTTTGGTTTATAATTTTAGTTGGTGTTCATGTTTTCTAAATATTGGTCTTTGAAATGTGATATCCTTCTTAGAAGACACTTTTTCCACAGTAGGAATCCTATCCCTTAGGATCATGAAATGTATCATAGCATTGGGTACCATTCTTTCTGAGTGCAGAAAAATGTTGAGTTGTGTGGATTTATCAGTTGGCCATAGACTTGACATTGTAAGCACATAGCAGTTTCTCCAGATGTGGAATTTTATAAATGTGCTGTAAAATGATTTCAATTTTGGAGAGTTATAACTAAAGTTGATTGTGGCTATAAGGATAGATATATAGAAAACAGTTAGAAAAGACATGCCTTCAGAGATGTTGCCAAAGAAGGACTTCCTCTGAGTCAACAATTTTCTAGCCTTATGTATCAGTCTAGGTTAATATATTGGAAATTATTTTTCCTCATTTAAATGATGCATGTTTCTATTAATCAAAAAAGATTGAAATATTCAGTCATGTCTGTGAGAAACAAGGATATAATACCCTAGGATATGCTAAGTCCTGATAAGTTTGTTCATTTGAAGGTGGTGGTACAATCATTAAGTCTGCCTTGATGTTTTTCAGTTTTGTTAGCTGTGATTTTGACAGGATCAACACATGATGATGATGATTAAAATAGCTATTTTAATGGGTCAGGAACTGTTTCTAAGAATATAACAATGTAAAAATTAGTTATTAAAACATGATTATCAAGAAGAACTATAACAGATGTAATTTAATGGGCTTTTGAGGTTTCATTTACAGGAGACTCTTCAGCATTGTTCACATTAACTATGTGTTGTGTTAAAAAAAAGCAAAGGAACTTGATATGTGATTAGGTTTTATTTAAGCATTCTGAAATCAAGTGATGAAACTGAGCAAGTGCAAGCACCAGTTCATAGACATGGAAAGAAGCCAAGTAGTTGCTTATATTAGGCAACATCTGTGTGATCTCAGTAAAATATCCCTTATAATTATATTTTGCTTATTTGCTTCTAATAAGCAAAGCCTAGCAGAAGGCTCCATCAGCAAGCTGGCTGCTTGGAAATACAATTACCTGGGTTCTAATTCCAGAATACATATATGAAAAATCAGGCATACAGGCATCACCATCCAGTCACAGAACATGAGGCACATGCAGTG